AATTGAAGATACTCTTTCTGTGCTGCAGCGACTTTTCCACTAATACTCCTCATGCTTCACAACATGCTGCCATGCTCAAGTACAAGTATTTGACTGAAAAGAAATAACCATGGCGAATGATGAAATGAAAACCCCAAACTATCTCCAGAAAGTCTGGAGAGCTACTTCAAAACTGAGACTCCTTGAAGGTCTGCCTCTTCGGACCACACATAAAACTTTAGAGCAGTCCAGTGTATTTTAACTTTTTATCTTTGAAACTTTGAAAAGTTGGGGACATTGCCTGTTTAAAAGTGGAGCTTTTCTTTTCTGCAAGCAAAAATCTATCACAGTTATGGAATGTGTGTGGTCCCTGCATCTAGAGGCTTTGCAGAACAAATACATTTATGTAAGGGCAGCTGATGGAGAAACCTGTCAGCTGGCGGTTTCCCTCTGTTAAATAAACTGTTTACTCTATAACGTCTAATGCTTCTCGCTGTTCTGAATGCAGAAACATCCCCCCCCCCCTGTTCTCATCTAACATGAACACTGTTCTCTTCCTTTCTCTGTGTGTGCATATTTTTTCCTCCTTCTCCTCCTCCTCTTCCTCTCTCGCCTCTCCTTCCCAAGAGACCTGAGCTGCGGCTGCACAGTAATTACACTGAAGCTGCAGGGACATATTTAAACATTTATTAAAGAAAAGTCAGCAGGTAGGAGAAGATGAAGGTAAAAGCCAGATACTGACTGGACAGGAGTGCACAATAAATGAGGAAGGATCTCAATAGAGGAACACCAACGAGGGAAAACACCGTAGAAAACATCAGGTTTGTTAGTAGAAAAAGCAGCTGCATTGGGACATTTTAGCAGATGAATTTGCATCAATCAAATCTCAAGAGTTGGCTGTTTTAGCTAAAGCAGGTTTTCTAATCATAGTCCTGTAGTAATGGCACAAAAAATATTAAAAGTTCCACTTTCTGATGGAAAAAGAGCCTAAACAATTAGGCTATATAGGAACTTTCCAGCATACATATACTTTAAAAAGTTCATACCAAAAAGCTTCTTCCAACTTTTTAGTAAAATGCAAATTTTACTAAAATTATTTGCACCTGCCTGGTGCAAATAATCTTGCAGCTCGGCCCTTCCCCCACCTGTTGCTGAAGGTCAGTTGGATGAAAGAGAACTGTTGCACTATTTCCTTTTCCAAACTCAACTGATTAGAACAACTTTTAAAAGTGAGAAAAGCACATTTTAGAGACTATAACTTGGACTAGAGTGTTTGTTAAGAAGCCGACTGCAGGCAAGTTAACAGGCTGTAAAAATAATTAACCAGTTAAAATCAGCAAAATGACTACTTTCATAATATTCAGCACAAATGTGGCAGCTGTTCATGTTTTGCTTTTGCCTATTTGAAATCCAACAATGCCAATTTGAAATACCATGACAATTATTTTTCCTTCAGCTAAAATAATAAGGCAAACAAATGATAAGTAATAATATTTTTGTCAAAAACATGTCATGATATTTGAAAGAGCCACTTCCTACATTTTGTAGTCAAATTTTCTGAGCAACTGTGAGTAAAGGCAAAAAGAGAAGAAACTCTGCAATACAACATCAAACTGTTCACAAATGCTGCATCAGTTCAAATGTGCTTAAGATGTGTTTGCATAGACTAATATTTATGACATTAAGCACATTTTTCTCAACCAACCAAGATAAGGGAAAGTCTTTGATTAGGAGTGCTAAGTCAATACGACCGGCATTTTTCTTTATTAAAAAATAAAAATAAAATTCAGGCATAATTAAAGAAAAATAAAATCCCTATCGTGATTCTCTGATGCATCTTGCATGTAGGAAGAAGAGAAACGTCTCACGAGATGAGTTGGAGAGGTTCCTGGCTAAAGTCGAGGAACAAGAACATATTTTGTTTTCTGGCATTGAGGCCGATCTCTGGAGTGGGACGGTGTGTCAATGTTGTAGCTTCACAGACAGAACAGGATAAAAGATGGTGAAGATGGAGGTCAGAGAGAGGAATGTCTTGCAATCACCAAAAACAAAAAGAAAAAAGAAAATGACCAAAACAGATCGGAGTAAAATGTGAGTCTTGCACTTTTCCCTATTAACATTACAAATGTAGTAGAGCAGTCCAAAACTGTAATTCAATCAGCAAAAAATAACAAGCCAGAAAACTGGATCTGGTCAAGAAATCAGCCTCCCCATGCTGGGCCAGCCTTTAGTCGGTTCTGTTGATTACAATTAATGAATCCTGTATTGAACCAAACCACCAAGCCACAGCGGTGTAAGCAGCACTTTCACATCAGTAATTTCTATACTGAGAGAATGAAAAAGCTTCATCTTTGTCTTACGATGGTGTTTCAGTCACAATAGAGAAACCGAATCTTGCAGTAAACTGCTCTTAATTGTTGGCCTATTCAACATAATCATATGGAAATTTGATAAACCTGGCTAATGTGCTCTATATCCATCTGTGTCTTTAAATGCAGACCGCCTTTAGACTCCACCTTTGGCTCTTATTTCTAATGAGGCTGGAGACATTGTACAGAAAGGTAATTCCTGCACCACTTTTCAGATGTTTTAATATTAGGTCGTGTAACGGCATGCACTCATATTTATTACTTTTTCATCATGTGTCCCCGGTGTGCATAATAATTATTTTCACATCATCAACCCTTTCCCAGCTCCCCCTCTAAGTGTCGCCAGTGGGCCAGTAAATCTGGAAATATGCATAAGCAAACTGTGAATATAACATGGAGCTGCTGAAGTTTAGCTTTCTTCTTCTGCCTGCCTTGTTTGAGTGATTGAGTTTGGCCAAACTCCACGTTTTATCACAATTCATATTGCTTTAGTCTATAATCATAACTGTATCACTTTGTGCTTAATTTGTTAAACAGGTAAAACTTTGACCACGGTGAACACATGAGCTGGTCGGATATGACCCGGGAGCCACCGATTAGCAATTTCATAGTTAGCATGCCAACCAGCTGATTCAGAGTGATATGAAAAAACAACGCTTTTTATCCTACCATCACAAACATGAAGCCAGAGATGACAGTCCTCAGACCTAAATTCAATCTAAAGAGAAGCGTAAGAGAGAACACCAAACTTCCAATCGTTTTAGTGATTGCTTAATCTCTTATTTGAAATTTTGAATTTTTCTTAGTAGACCTTTGTAGATGAAACTGATAAAGTTTTCATTTATTGGTAAATCTATCACAAACTCCTTCAGTCTCATTGGCGTCCATTTAATTTAGATTTAGTCCAAAATATAGCAAGGCAACCTAGGAAACTACAGTGCCAGCTCATATAAGAGAACACAGAAAAAAAAGGGAACATTTACATTTTATATTTAAATTTTTTTTCATACTTACAGGATTAGAGAATCTGTTAAGATGAGACATGTTTTGCTCATACAGCAAGGATGTCCTCTTTTAAAGAACAATTTGTTCTTATAATTTGAATTAATTAAAATGACCTTTAAATCTGAACTATCTTCGTTCACATGAAACAAGAGGTGATATGACTCACTGCTTGAGCATCTGCATGAAAAGTTGTTTTCAATGTGAAAAATGTGACTAATTGCTTTACATACAATTTTTCAAATGACTGATGTCATTTCTAACTAAAGCACCTCTTTGCTAAATCATGCACACAACCCAAAGACATGATTTGGGACACAACGCCCTCTCTCGCCAAACCATTGAGGTGTTTCCAGAGACAATCCTACCCATAAATCAATGGGCTCCTGGACTGAAACTGGCAAACCCTACACCATTAGAGCAATAAAGAGACAGACTGACGACACGACCTACACATCAATGACAACCACATGGGCACAAAGCCACCAGCAAAGACTCAGACACACTCAAAGGCATTACTACAATGCATCTTTAGGGTATTTCAATGAAGCAGCGAAGAAACTGTAATGCACTCATCTGCAGAATGAAAGATTTCTGCATACATACCACTACAGAGACGCATGTGTCTCTGTGTATAAATATATATATAAAAATAAATGCAGAAAAGCAAAAAGCATGTTTTCTGCATACAAAACATTGACAAACATTCCCAAATATAGAAGTGAAGTCTCTGCAAACTCAAAACAAATTAGTTATTGCTATTTAATCAAATAAAAAGCTTTTCCTAATAGGATTTCTACTTATAAGGATTATTGATTAAAATAACTTTAGTATCTGTGTTGTTTCACACCAAGTTTGTCTTCAGTTCTAATGCACACCACAACCCTGGAAAAAATAGGAGAAGTCTTCAAATAAATCAATCATTTATTGTGCGTACAAAATCTCAGACTTTAATTTAATGAGACAGAAATTATGGAAAGATATGCATATATCTAGAAAGGCATAAGAGGCAGTGTTTCAGTGTACCACTACTCCATAATGCACACGCTTTGCCCTGCAATAAAAAGTTATAGCACATGAGTCAAGTGCAACCTGTCTGATCATAAAACTGTTCCACTGGTGCGACATAAAATTCTTCTCAAGGTTATGAAAGTCAGTGGGTGCAGTCTAACACTGCCACCTGCAGGATGCAGTGTGTCTTGCAAAAGATTACATGTTCTTAACCCCCATTTTACACCTCGAAGACTCGAGGCATCGCTGAGTGTGTATGTGGGTTTTTCTTGAGCCATAACTGATTCTGCAGAAATATCCTCATGCACTGAAATACTGATGTGCAAAGAAGCAGCACATTTTGTGTCCAAAAGTAGACAGTGACCACCAGCAGAACGAATCTGCTCGACAGAGAAGATTCAAATGACACTGATAAAGAATGAAATGACACGGAAATTCATGACCTCATAAACATAACAGTGAGCTTTAGATGCAGATGAATGGGCAATCAGCCACACAAAAAGCAAAACAGGAAGTGAGGGTTGAAGATAATAAAAAAGAAAAAACAGAGAAAAAAAAAATCACGCTTTTGGATGATGACAGATGATGACACTGCTGATGTTACTGTTGACGGAGTATCACGGATCGCCGTGGTCTTACCAGTGTGGAAACTGCGGAGGTGTACATTGGAGTGTGTCCCGTGGACATCAACACAGGCTGTAAAACAACAGAAGGGACAGGGTAATTGTGCAGGACGTGCGGATGGGTAAAGGGAAGAACAGCGAGCATTATTTAGTTTCGCGTTACCTCATCATTTGTGAAATATGCCAATTCTGAAGATTATTGAGAAGTCTATATTAAGTGTGAAGTAAACATCGTCTAGTGAAACGATACGTACACATCCTGAACTTTTTCACATTTTGCCATGTCACAAACACAAACTTGAATGTAATTTACATTTTACATGAAGTCGAACATTATTGTGAAAATAAAACATGGCTTTCTGTTTTTTTTCTTTACCAGTACAGTACAGGTGTGGCACATTTTTGTGCAACTAGAAACACAAATATTTCAACCTACCACTATAAAACAACTAGCCCAGGCTAAGTCAGATTGGATGGAAAGTATGTGTAAACAATACATTTAAGTTGTAAGATTCTTAATTAAATTTAGGTCTGGACTTTGACTTGACCACTCTAACACATCTATAAGACTGGGTGTTTATTTAGCCTTATTGTCCTTATTTCCAGAATTACCATGTATTTGTCATCTCTGTTCCTGCTGTAGAAATTACTTCCACAGCATTATGCTGCCAATACCATGTTTCACCTTGGGTGTGATGCTTTACAGTGACATTTTCTGAAAGCCATGCATATTCTTATATTTCTTTTGTAATGGTAAACCTCTGGCTCCAGTGTGACAAAAAGTGAAAAATAGGCATGAAAACAGTTGCAAAGCATAAAGATACAATCATACTGCTGACTGTATGATTGAAAAACACTTTATGAAACTTGCAACAATCTTCTAGCAAATTTAACTTTACTTAGAGCAGTTAGAAAAAGATTAACTCTCCTTTCTATATTATGTTTGATGTATCAAAGCCTTGATTCTTTATCAATAAATTAGAAATTTAAATCATTAGCTGGAGTAGAGTCAGAATTGCAGAACATAGCACGGGGTCTGCGTTTTAATAAATAAGACAGTTAAGATACGAATAAAAAGCAGGATCAATTCAAACAGCACATCTGTTTATGCCTCTGAAATCTGTATGTGAGGCTCTGCACAGCTGAAACTGTGTTTCTGAAATCTTCCTTTTTACAATTAACAGCAGTGCTGTGGCTGCTTTGCACTGGAAAGGTTTTAGCTATCAGCAGTGCACACTGAGGTCTTAGTATTTAGACAGCTGTGTTGATGTATTCCAGCACGATACTAATCAAGAGGAAACCATCCCATTTTTTCTTTCATTTTGCTCACTTTTTCTCAAAATCAACCTGGCCTTTATTTTATGGGTTCATTGGAAATGTTATAGGCTTTTCTCACCCTGTTGCAAATGAAGAACAGCACAATTAGGCTGTGAGATATTGCTTATTTATTATTCATTCTCTGTAAGTTTCCTTTAAGCTGCAGACTTTCAAACACCAGAACTTGTTAATAAATTTGAGCTTTAGTTAATTTTCTGCTGCCAGCGTCGGGTGATGAGCCAGGGAAGGAGTGCAGGAAGAAGGTGAGCGGGGTGAAAAAGGGGGGCAAAAGGCAAAAACTCATTAGAAATGTGGAAATATAGGCAGAAATAAAGGGGTGAGCAACACAATGCAAAGACTAAACTACCTTTATTGCCTTCATGACACTGTGAAGATAAAATCCTTATGTGAAGAGTAACCACATCGTTCATGAATACCAAGCATTGTCATCATCATTGTCATCATCAATCCCAACATGATCATTTCTGTGCAACATTCCTTTATAAATCATATTAACATCAAAATAAACAAAAACTAAAATGACAACTAAGTAAAATCAGAATCTTAACATTTTAGAAAAAGTCATTTTAGTGATAAAATTGTTAATTCAGAGGCTAAAATAGAAAATAATCATTTTAAGCTAATTAACAGCAGCACAACTGTTACAGTAAACATAAGAAGTTTTTTTAAATTAGCCTTTACTTTTTAATTTTGATAAGAGAAATTAAAACGTAAATTACTAATTCTTGTTTCCTTAGAGTTTAAATGTGAGCGAACAAAGGGGCCCAATTCAGTTACCTATTTATATTCATCTTGCCCTTTTGCACAGTGAGGAGGATGCAGCGACATCTTGGGATCATCGTGTCTCTTCTCATTCAAAAGTCCTGAGTGTCATGTTAGAGGCACTAGATAATTAACGCTTTAAAATACCAGAATATTTTAATTGAAGACTGAATCTTTCACTGAAAACTGATAAAAAAATATCTTCATTGAGTCATTAGGATCATCTAAGTCATATGAACAAATCAACAGTAAATGGTCTACCACCTACAAAATCTACCTACATCCCTTTAAGTGTGGGCTTATGTGAAGAGAAGAGAGCATAAAACATCGCCCTGGAATCTGGATGATTTAGAGATTATGGAAAGAGGAAAACTTTTTTGCTCCAAGTGTTAAAACGTTACAGAGGGAGACCAGAAGCTACTTTGGTCTCCTTATTGTTTTGTACAAACAATAAGCAGCAGGGGTGCTAGTGAGCATGCCATTGGTGATTTTGTGTTTCAAAATCATTTGAAAATTTTTCCTAAACCACGTCTGACTCACATAAATCTTATTGTGCATAGCATCACCACTGACAACTTTCTAAAGACTTATATTGATACTGAAGTGGTTTTAAAATGTGTTTTATTGCAAATCTCATCAGATAAACAGGCATCTTGTTTTTACTGAATAGTAATAAATTAGTAACAGGAACTCAGCCATCATTATTGCATCTTTCATAACCCTGAGTAACAGCAGCAGATTATAGCAAATACAGAGACGGACATAATTACATAAAACACACAACGTTAGTCCACCAGGTGCAGATCATTTCAGAAGTAAACTTAATCTTAAGTAGTTAAGTCCGCTTTTCAAAGAATAGTCAAAGGATTATGAGCTTTGCTTCTAAGCATCATCCGTGTGTTATTTATGTATTTTCAGTATATTTTTGCTTTTCTGCCTTCCAGAGGATTCTCGCACTTCCATAACATGATTCACGCAGTTAATTTTGATCTAAATAAGTTCAAAATATTTTTTTTCCATTGCAGTGAATTCAGTTCTCCCAGAAGAGAAGAGTAGCACAAAGCTTAATAATAAATAACAGCAGTAACCTACAAATAGAAATGGTGTTAGTCAGCTTTAGACAAACATTGCGAACAAGCTGACATGGTACACTCCCAATGGATTTTTTTAAGACTGGATTTTCAACTCATCACTTCCAGAGCTCCTAAGCTGCACAAACATACACATATATATACATATATACATAATGAAGGTAGCTAAAAGAGAACAATATTGTAAAAAACTGTTTTCAAAAGGCTTTTCACTGCCTGTCTGTCCTTTCCTTCAAGGTAAAGTGGCCTCAACGCTTTAAAGCCAAGATACCAATAATCTGCAGAAATTTGAAGTATGTACAAACACAGCTGGTGGACTGATGCACAAAATTAAATGTTCCAGGGTCACTGGTTATGTAATGATGTGGAATTAACATAATTTAAGAGTTCTCGCGTCCTCTGCATATATTAAACGCCTTAAGACATGTGACGCTACTTGAATAATGTCTTTGCAGCTTGGAGACACATTTTGGTAGATTACAGTACAGATCAACACATCCTATAAGGCAGCTCTTTGGTAGCCCTCAGAGTGTAATCTAATGTAGGCAACAAGATTGTATATAATATAAAATTCCACTACAAAAAAATTTAGCATATGGTTTATTTTAGAGTCAGAAAAAGTTGGCATTTTAAAAATGATTGAACAAAATAAACTGTTCTTTTTATGGCACAAATTGCGTTTGAGGATAGTCATATTAATTTAATTACATTTACTCATGTGACCAAACTAAAATCTGCATTATAGAAGCCCCATAAAATGTTATGTACAAAATAAATAATAATCCTAGCTCTAGTAATTAGAATTAAACAACTAGAACATTTTTATGTAACAACTAGTTACATAAAAATTCAAATGTTTGCCTTATATTTTAATGCCTTTATATATTTTAATGTGACTTTAATGTATTTAATGTAATTTAAAATGGTAGCGAGATTGAATTCAACTCTGAAAAAAAACAATGTATAGAAAGACATAAATATGTTTTAAAATGGATGTTGATTTATCATTGTACTGGTCATAAGTGAGTAACTACAGATTGTGGCTGAGCTCGTTAAATTTGAACTTTTAATCAAAGTGGTATTAGTGATAGAAAAACACTACAAGCATCTGTAAGCTGATTGAACAAGTAATGATCTGAAGACACTAGAAGGCACTAATCATAATTTTTACTCTCACTTAAACAGAGTTGATTAACACATAATGGCAGATTTCAGAAGAGCAACTTAGAGGGATGAAGCCTCTCTCCTGCCACTTTAATTAAAGTATTTATCCATTTCTGATAAATCAGAACATCCTCTTTGATGTATGAGTTGTTTGTTCTGTCTTACATTAACATTTGGCTCATCTGTCACATTTAGGCAGAATCCACACAGGAACATTTTCTTCTATAACAGCATGTTGTTTTTGAAAAAAAAAAAAAAAAAAAAAACATGGGGCCATTTCCAGAAACGATTTCATCCACGAGGAAATGGATGAAATACCAAGAACCGTCCAAAACACTGTTTCAACCTGGATCTCTTTCTGTCTGAGACTTCAACACAAAGATCAGAAGAGAAAGAAACTAAATTCAGACACAAAAATATCACATTTATTAAAGCTGCAGTATGTAACTGTGAGAAAAACATTGTTTTTTACATATTTGTAGAATCTATGACTGTGTCGACTGTGGTATGAGACAGACAATCTGTGGAAAAGAATCAAGCTTCTCTGCCTTTTCCCAGTCACAACATGGCAACAATTTTAAAAGACATGTAAAAAACATATTCTTTATAAAAGTTATATACTGCAGCTTTAAAACACAATTTGTGATTATCTAGCTATGTATCTAGCTGTGTATTTTAATGTGTAAGTTGCAACTAAAATTACCCTTATGAGATCAGAGTGGCCCTGTTCAGGGGAGTGGGTGTGTGTTTCGGTGTGTGTGGGCTGCCACAGAACAGAGCAACTGCATGTGAACCATCCAAATAATATCTGTTAATACTTCTATGTTCACAGTAGCCTGTCTGATTGCTGTTTTACTGTTTTCATGCAACTCCACTCCAGATTTCAGCTCTCCAGTGTTATAACACCCAGTAAGCTTCTCAGCGTCCTTAAGGAGAAATCTCCATGGTTATCTCTCCTCACACTGAAGAGATGAGTGTATAATTTAAATGACAGCAAGAAATCACAATAAGCCAGCCTTTCTTTGCTGCTTATTAATCGCCGGCATTTCATTTTGGCTCATCCAGGGACTTCACTTCTCTCCGCCTGTGGGAAATATGAAAGAACTGGCCCCACATCACAGAAAAACAAAAACACAACCTTCTCACTCTCAATTGGTAAGAAGGTTGCTGGATGACATTTGTGGATACATGAGATACATCCTGTTTAAGTGGCCACCGCAGCTTACACCGGAACATTTGTAGTTACAGAAGAATTGAGTTAGTGCACTTCGAGCAAGCTGCTCATGTTCCCACTGATGTCAGCTTGCTTTGCTAATGGTAGCTCTTATGATGTCCGTCACAGTACAGACACACCTAAAGTGCACCATGAAGTCCATATTTGTGGGGGAGGGTTTAGCTTCAAAGTAATTTAGCACATTTTATCCATACAAATAATGATGACATCTTTAATTTAAAAAAATATGCTGACTGGAACCACTTGTGCTCATTTCTCTTTGACCATGCCTGCATCATTTGATCAAATTATCTGCCTATTGTCTGTCCTTAAGGTATCTTGTGTCCAGACGCACTTTGAGTGTAGATATCAGATCGTCTGATGTTCATGTTCATACAGGCTCAAAGCCGATGCATGACGGCACGGCAGGCCATATTTAATTATCAAATAAGATTATGTTCCTATTAGAGCCCTTAAGTGGGCAAAGCAGGGCTCCAAAGCAGCCAACATGTGGTGTTAAGTTAAATCAGATACTGCTTTGTGTCTGGGCAGTATGTAAGATGAACAAAAGCATAATGTCAAAATGCTTACATCAGGATTTTCCAATGATAAAGCAATTTAGAAGGACACCATCCAATGTAACTTCGACATTTTTAAACAGGGTGTGTGCATCTCTAATCAGTTGTACACATGCAATTCTGGATAAAAATAGAAAACCTCACCATTTCCTTAAATGTCATGCTGATTGTAGGACTTTAAACACTGTTTTTATTTTAATTATTTCCAACAACTTTGATGACTTTTAGCAAAAACAATTGAAAACACTGGTTTGAATTTATTCAGGCTAACAGTTAGAAAATATACATCAGAACACATTTTGCTGGACAATAAATTGATCATTGAGATGAATGATAATGTTGTTGTTTTGAGACCATTTTCAAGTAAAATGGTGATGGGATAATAATTCAAGAACAGATCATCAAAGAACAGTAAACTTTAAAAATCATAATGAACATTTTACACTGAAAGACATTTTAAATATCCAAGATAAACAAAACAGCAGAAATAACAAATCAAAGGAATTATGAAGTATTTGTAAACAGAATTGTCCTTCTAAAACAAAAGGGTTTGTTGAGACCAAAGTACCAGATTGAAGACCAATTTTGGCAGAAAGAAAACAATAAATCATCCAACTACAGATTTTTGATATCGCAATTAATTGATTTATTGTTTATTGTGACAGGCCTATGTATGGTTTTTGCATAAAGTCATGCCTTGACAGCAGCCTTTTTGTAACCATCAATAAACTTATGGTGTTTCTAAAATGAATATAAATCCTTAATCCCACTGAGGAATTTTCTCAATATGGAGATGTAAAGCCAGAAGGGTCACTCAGATGACCCTTCTGGATGCTGTGATTGAGGCGTGTGATGACTTCACAGCTGGATGAGACACTGACTCTAAAACTTTCTTTCCATGCCGGGTCACCAAAGAAGATCATCTTTGTGGTGTGGGTGAGATTTTGGGGCCCAGCAGCTGCAGCCACAGTTTATTTCAAAATATCCCTCCGTAGTACTGTTACATTGACAACATGACAAAGCAATTTGACTGTGTTATCCATACACAATGAGTCAGTGACTTGTCATTCTGATGGCACTAGCATGTTCATTGACACAGATATTTATTTTTCAAAGATTTTGTTTCGTTTTTAGGCAGTCAATGGTGCGTTGCTGTTTGTATGAACCGTTTTGAGAAATGCACTTCCTGTTTTTGCAAATGACAAGAACGATTCAAAAAATGTTCATGGCCACGTAGATGTCTAAATGGAACTGTTCATTAATCATTGTTCACAATATAAATATTTGTAAAGACTTTAATGTCTTGTTTTTTGTTTTTTTATTTTGACAATGAAGTTGCAGCACAGAATGTGTTCCAGATGATTGAAAGAGGAGGTCAATCGTTTGTCAATGCTGCATTGAATATTAAGCATAGTTGATAAATTACTGGGATCCACAAGCAAAGAAATAATGAATTACTCTTGAAATGTACTGCATGTGGAAATTGGAGTCCATTGCACCACATGTTGCAACCTATGCATCCACAATGTCTATAAGTAAACGTGTGCATTTAATACCTTGACAGGAGAGATATGCGTGTGTGGCGTGTAGCCGTGTATGGCCTCCATGGCAGCGAGGTTCTTGTCACTCATATGAAGCATCTCTGCACTTTTCCCTGGAGCCAGATGTGCTGGGCTGTGCTCCAAGGGGGGCGTCTCCTCATCCTGGTACCTGTACTTCTGCAAGATGACACAGACACAAACAAGATCATCCAACTAAGAAGATCCCAGGTCCTGGGGTAGTGATTTAATCTGTTAATGTTATCAAAGTCATCAAAAAATGAGATTTATTCATAGGAAATACAACTCTGAAATACAAAAGTGAATTCGGCAGACAACCAAAGCAGTATTCCTGTCAGATTGCCTCCTTTAACCAAATGTTGGCAAGTCTATAAGCACAGCTTGTGCATCGCATAGCATGTGTGACGCCCACAAGTGAAAAGTGGAGACATAATAGGAACAAAGGCCTTGAAAGAGTTCTGGCACTTTACTTTGAATATGTATCGTCCCCCACAGCCACATGGAGCTACTAGAGCATCGATTCATGAGAGTTTTATGAGGCAGCAGTTCATGCAGCTTCTTCGTAGCAACCTCACTCCCCTACCAATATCCCACACCTGGGCAGCCTGCCAGCAGCCCACTGTTTCAGCCACACATGGTATGCTTCATTCTAGGCGCGATGACACAAAATCTGCACACTGCGATTTCCATCACAAACACACAAGAGGTGGGCAGCGCAGTCACACTGGAGATCTGTCACACTGCTCGGTGCCTAGAAGCCTGTATTCGACAAATCCGCACATGCAACGTCCAAAGCCCCCAGGATCACAACGCTTCACTGTGCTGCACTGCAGATGTGAAGCACCGCTCTCTAAAAAAGATAAATCCTCAGAAATACATTTTGGTTTGTTGGCTATTCCCGACAATTTCCCACCTCGCTCTTTTTATTTTCGTTTTTTTTTTTTTTTTTGCAGACATGGAGAAGGAGGTGCATCACTGAGCCCTGTCTAAGACGGGCTGCCTAGCAACCGGAGCAGAGCAGAGATTGCAGTGCCACAGTTGGGGCTGGCAGCATCGGTCCTCGATCACATTACACTGAGACAGCAAGAAAGTGAGGGAGAGAAACAGATAAAGATAGAGGAGAAAGCAAATGAGGTATGGATAAAATGAAAAAGTGAGACCATCAGCACCGCCACAAAGTGGGAGAGAAAAAAATCAAGATGGAGTAGGACAAATAAAAAGAAGTAATTGTTGACTGCACTGCTCTTTAATTATAGAATAACAAGCTTTTTCTGCATAGTCAGTTATTGCCATTTTAATGCAAACACTGTATCATATAGCCAAATATCCCTCACTCCCATTTTTTTGCCCCCAGCTCTAACAGTAACTGATAATGATTTAAAATGATTTAAAAAAACCCTCACAGAATTTGGTACCATTATTAATGTTCCTGTATCTGTGGTCAAAACAGCCCTCTGATCTCCCTTTCCTGCATGACCAACATCCATGGTGCCACTCTGCCTTCTGTCCTGCTGGTGGGGGATGTGACTTTCAGTTCATGGAGCAGGATGGAAATGCCCTCCTGGAGAGGCACGTAGGAAACTGGGAGGTTAGACACAGGATTCAGACATGTGCATTGGATAGGAAGTACTGAAATAAATTAACTTTATATAGTTGTATGATGTATTAGTTAGCATTTTTTTTAAAAAAGTTGACTAAAAGGTAACAAATTGGATAAATAATAAATCTGAGTGAAGGGTTTGCTTTTTGTTTTGCAGGTGGCCTGAGTGCTTGACATTTAGCTCTGTTGTGGAGATAGACAAAAATAAATGTAGGGGTGAAAAATGTTTTCTTTTTGTTCATGTATCAACTATTGTTACCACTGCAGTATAGCCTAAATTTTAACAGTCTAAATTTTAAAAAGTGGGACAGTAAAGATAGTAAAGAATCTAAGCAGTAGAGAGTAACTTATCTACATTTGCTTTCAAAATAAATTTATTTCTTATTTGAGAAGTTTTAGATGGGCTTGTTTCAAGCATACTTTGTGGAGAATATATGTTAGCTAATGTGTTTAAAATTCACCAAGACCTAAAGTATGTTGGAATATAAGATCATTCAGTGTACGCTTTCTGCGCTCACCTATTTTGTCAGTGGCCCAGGCTTTAGAAATAGGTCTTCTGTCATCTGAGCAGCAGAAACTAATCTCCCTACACATAAAATATGTAGGCCAGAACACCTGCTGGATGACAGTTAAGAAAGCTTCACGCCGCCCCGCTCTAAGGAATATAAACCAGACACAAATTAAGTTTATGGCTTTCCATCTTTAAAGTTAAAACACGAGCAGAACGACAGCCACTTTCAAAGAGCCGTTTGTCTGTCATGATTATCTGAATTTCTTTTTTTTTCCCCTAACAGTCTATCAAAAATACAAACCTTCTCAGTTTATTTTCACTCACAAGTGTCTTTGCAAGTGCTAAACCTCAAACACAGCTTTCATCTCATTTACAGTATCGCGATTGCTGCTGCCAGCCGACACCTACCAGTAAAACTGTTTATTTCATGTATATGTAACAATCAGAAGATTCAGATATCCTGCCAAATGTTACCTTCAGGCGTTTACTCCAGGGCATCTCAGCACAGCACTTTGACAAGTGTTCATGTCCTTTACGGTGTGCGCTTCAACAACAGACTTAACATTCACCATGGGGCAGAGTGCCTAGAGCTGCACGCATCATGATGCCAGTGTGTGAATCCAGACAACCTAAATAAAAACAGGGAACTATAGCAAAGGAGAGCTTCTTTATTTCCCCCACGGAGACGCTCTACATTCCCCATCTTCACACAAATATAATTCATCAATAGGGTGGAGTCATTCATCCCAATGCAGTGCAAAATGGAGGCTTCTATTTAAGCAGTTTTTCCAGCATTCTTCATACTATAATGAAGAAATGAACAAAGTTTATTTGGCTTCCAAGTAAAGCTGATTTAAATTGGATAAAGAGCAAACAATTCTGCAGTCATATCAAGTAATGTGGAAAAATCTCAGTTGTGTTTTCTTAGGGTTAAATTGTAAGTGGCTCTGATAGGTAGGTAACTACTATTAATTTTTTTTTCCATATTTGTTAAAATATGGAAATATGTTCTTACAGCAGAATATGAGGCAGATAATCTGTAAAAACGTTCCCCTGCCCTGCCTCATTTCAGTGGTCCTACTGCCATCTCCAGAAATTCGCTGCTCAGTCAGAAATAACCAATCAGAGCCAAACAAGAGGTCTTAGCACTGTCAATCATGCTCATGTACGCATTGCTCAGTGTAAGCAGCAACTACAACTTCAAGATTGCCATTTTTGCTGCAGCCGGAGAAGCAACGTGATGTTACGAGAAATAGTGGATAAACTGTTTATCCACTATTGTCGGTGGAAATGCTAACTAGCCTGCAAATTCAGTTGGTTCCTCTGTGGTGAAGAACCTGTAGAGAACCAGGGAGCAAGGGGTGCAGCAGCAAATACACCAGTTGATTTACAGTCCTAATGCTCTCTTCCTGGCTCTGATTGGATGTTCCTGACAGAGCTTTGCATTTCTGCAGGTGGCAGTAGGATCACATGGCGGAGACACATTTTTCGCAGATTATCTGTCTCATATTATACAGTCTGGACAGTTTCAATAAATACGAAACTGTTTTATACAATACAATATATTTTATTGCGAAACTTTCACATGGTCATTTTTTGTTCTTCTTACTGCGGTAATTTTTTGATTGAACTTTCTGTGAATAAGAAATCCACACAAATAGTAACCCTCAAATTGAATGATCACATTAGAGTCATAGATGCAGTAAATTGTATTACATTTTACTGAAACCTGCTTCCTGTGCGGCAAGAAGCTCAACTGGATGATGTGACTTAATAATTTTAGAACGCTGAACTCTTAGAGCCTTCATCTGACTCGTTCTTTTGTTATTGTTAGTTTTTGTAATACAGCCATTTCGGAGCATTTAGAGCTTACCACAATCTTTAAAAAGTGTGAATTGGACATTTGTTTAAGTGGGGTCTATAGTGTGACTATCTTTCTATCTATCTGATCTTAACCGCAAGCTTTGCTTCATTAAGCAAAGAATGGTTCTCTTCACATCAACCTGAATGAATGAAAGAACTCACAGTTCAGGTTAGACCTCAGGCAAAGCTCCGTAACTGTGAATCCATCCCATCCCCCCTCTGTCCGCTGAAGCATGTGCACACCATTTTTATGCTGAGTGCATGCATTCTGACGTTCGTAGCACTCACAGTGAGGGATTGTTAGTGTTAATCCCCACCAGTTGTCTGCAAACATATTCAAGCCGGTGGACATCGTTTCACCTCATCTGATGAGGTTCAGGGAAATTAACTTGTAGTAAAAGGAGCAAATGATCATAAGTGGAAACGCACTGAAAATGAGCCTTTTAAGCACAGAGGGGTTATGGGTTAGACGAAGTGTGAAACAGCTGCTTGGTATTGGATTCTCTGTAACAAAGAGGAAAATCAAAATTTTCCTTTAAGTTGATTGAGCCCAATTGAAATACAACAAAAATAGATTGAAAAACGGCTTCTTTTGTTACTGATCTTCTGATTAATATTGATGTCTTCCTTTCACTGGCACTCGTCCATTTTCTCTTATTGTGAAAAATGTTGTATTAAAGGCTTATTTGGGTATTTTGCTGTTTAAAAATATTTGAAACCCGATGGGCAAGTAACTGTGACTCTGTTTGGACTTCAGTGAAGCTCAAAATTGATTACATTTTACCGCTTGCTGATGCATGTCTGTGTACCAAATGCTTATTGAGGTCTATCGCTGAAACATAATGGTCTTTTTCTGACAACACAATTAATTCAGTGTACTCTGCATTAACTTCCAGCCCACCACTGGTTACCGTAAAGCTTTTACTGGTAGTTTTTGGTTGGTGACACTTTATTTGACGGGTTGTGAATAAGAGTGTCATGACACCATCATAAACATGAGAAAGTCTTCATGAATATGAAGACTTTCACAGTTCTGTCACAGACCTGTCACAGTTCAGGTTAGACCTGAACTGTGATTTATTGAATGACAATTCAATAAATCATTGAATTTATTGAATTGTCATTCAATATTCTTGGTTAATTTAACATTAATTTAATATTAACCAAGAAATCATGATCTGAAAC